TCACGCACGAACTCGGCTGAATGCATACAGCCTGCTGATGGTGCTGGGGTGTTGCTATCCCCCGGGCGTGGAGGGACAGTCACGTGATACAGTTGACGTATACTTCAAAGTCCAAATCTTCCACAGAAAGATTCCACAGTCATACCTCCGTACTAGACATGGCCTTATATCCCTAACCCTAACCCTAACCCTAATCCTAACCCTAACCCTAACCGTAACCCTAACTTTGATCCTAACCCTAATCCTAACACTAGTGCTGCCACATTGCGGTACTGTCCCTCTACGCCCGGGGGATAGCATTTCCCCTACTATATAGCCACCACCCCCACACTACAAATTCCATGCCCTACCGTACAGCTACCATCCTCTATCCTATAGCTAGCAATACCGTATACCCTACAATTACCAACCCCGACCCTGTAGCTACCCTACCCCATGCTATAGCTACCATACCCTATAGCTAGCCTACCCTACCCTATAGCTAGCCTACCCTATAGCTACTTTCCCCTACCCTATAGCTACCCTACCCTACCCTATAGCTACTTTCCCCTACCCTATAGCTACCCTACCCTATAGCTACTTTCCCCTACCATATAGCTACCATCCTCTACCCTATAGCTTGCACCCCTACCCTACAACTACTATCCCCTACCCTATAGCCACCACAGGTTACCTTACAGCTACCATCGTCTACCCTACAACAACCAACCCCCTATCCTATAGCTACCCTTGGAGTAATCAATCTGATGATAAGTCAGAATGAGTCACGAATGATTACTCCAAGAGCTACCCTACCCCTACACTACAGCCACCATCATCACTCACCCTAAGATGTTCGGGTCGATCCTGAGATGGTGCGAGAAGTTGCGCGGGTGCAGCTGCGCGAGCGAGCGCACCGACTCGTACGGCGGTCGCCAGTAGCGCGCCAGCTCGTCCGACAGTCGCGCGAGCGACGGCGCCGGCCCGCACAGCACGCACGCCTCGACCCCCGCGGTCAGCTGCAGCGTGCACAGCCGGTGCGGCACCTGTGGAGGAAGTGAAGCAGGAGAAGGATGAAGGAGACAGAATATAGGAATAAGAAGAAAGAGAAGGTCCCAGAGAACCAGCGACCTTTGAGCATAACTCGCTGATCTTTATTGACCTTACTGTAGGTGAAAATATGCTATGGGTAAGTAATAACACTATAAGCCACAAGACGGTGCAGCACCTGTGGAAAGAG